CAAGTGCCCCCCTCAGTGCCCATCACCCAGTCACCCCCACCCCCACCTGCCTCCCCTTCCACCACCCCTAGTTCGTTTCCCAGAGTTAGGAGTCTTCCATGTTCTGTCTCCCTTTCTGATATTTCCCACTCATTTTCTCTCCTTTCCCTTTTATTCCCTTTCACTATTTCTTATATCCCCAAATGAATAGGACCATATAATGTTGTCCTCCTCCGATGACTTACTTCACTCAGCATAATACCCTCCATTTCCATCCACGTCAAAGCAAATGGTGGGTATTTGTTGTTTCTAAAGGCTGAGTAATATTCCATTGTATACATATACCACATCTTCTTTTCCATTCATCTTTCAATGGACACCGAGGCTCCTTCCACAGTTTGGCTATTGTGGACATTGCTGTTGTAAACATTGGGGTGCAGGTGTCCCGGCGTTTCACTGCATCTGTATCTTTGGGGTAAATCCCCAGCAGTGCAATTGCTGGGTCTTAGAGCAGATCCATTTTTAACTCTTTGAGGAACGTCCACACAGTTTTCCAGAGTGCTGCACCAGATCACATTCCCACCAACGGTGCAAGAGGGTTCCCCTTTCTCCACATCCTCTCCAACATTTGTTGTTTGCTGTCTTGTTAATTTTCAAGATTCTCACTGGTGTGAGGTGGTATCTCATTGTGGTTTGGATTTGTATTTCCCTGATGGCAAGTGATGCGGAGCATTTTCTCATGTGCATGTTGGCCATGTCTATGTCTTCCTCTGTGAGATTTCTGTTCAAGTCTTTTTCCCATTTCATGATTGGATTGTTTGTTTCTTTGGTGTTGAGTTTAATAAGTTCTTTATAGATCTTGGAACTAGCCCTTTATCTGATACGTCATTTGCAAATATTCTCCCATTCTGAAGGTTGTCTTTGAGTTTTGTTGACTGTATCCTTTGCTGTGCAAAAGCTTCTTATCTTGATGAAGTCCCAATAGTTCATTTTTGCTTTTGTTTCTTTTGCCTTCGTGGATGTATCTTGCAAGAAGTTACTGTGGCCAAGTTCAAAAAGGGTGTTGCCTGTGTTCTCCTCTAGGATTTTGATGGAATCTTGTCTCACATTTAGATCTTTCATCCATTTTGAGTTTATCTTTGTGTATGGTGAAAGAGAGTGGTCTAGTTTCATTCTTCTGCATGTGGATGTCCAATTTTCCCAGCACCATTTATTGAAGAGACTGTCTTTCTTCCAATAAATAGTCTTTCCTCCTTTATTGAATATTAGTTGACCATAAAGTTCAGGGTCCACTTCTGGGTTCTCTATTCTGTTCCATTGATCTATGTGTCTGTTTTTGTGCCAGTACCACACTGTCTTGATGACCACAGCATTGTAGTACAACGTGAAATCTGGCATTGTGATGCCCCCAGATATGGTTTTCTTTTTTAAAATTCCCCTGGCTATTCGGAGTCTTTTCTGATTCCACACAAATAATTTGTTCTAACTCTCTGAAGAAATTCTATGGTTTTTTGATAGGGATTGCATTAAACGTGTAAATTTCTCTGGGTAACATTGACATTTTCACAATATTAATTCTGCCAATCTATGAGCATGGAATATTTTTCCATCTCTTTGTGTCTTCCTCAATTTCTTTCAGAAGTGTTCTATAGTTTTTAGGGTATAGATCCTTTACCTCTTTGGTTAGGTTTATTCCTAGGTATCTTATGCTTTTGGGTGCAATTGTATATGGGATTGACTCCTTAGTTTCTCTTTCTTCAGTCTCATTGTTAGTGTATAGAAATGCCACTGATTTCTGGGTATTGATTTTTGTTTCCTGCCACGCTACCAAATTGCTGTATGAGTTCTAGCAATCTTGGGGTGGAGTCTTTTGGGTTTTCTATGTAGAGTATCATGTCATTGGCGAAGAGGGAGAGTTTGACTTCTTCTTTGCCAATCTGAATGCCTTTAGTGTCTTTTTGTTGTCTGATTGCTGAGGCTAGGACTTCCAATACTATGTTGAATAGCAGTGATGAGAGTGGACATCCCTGTCGTGTTCCTGATCTTAGGGGAAAGGCTCCCAGTGCTTCCCCATTGAGAATGATATTTGCGTGGGCTTTTCATAGATGGCTTTTAAGATGTTGAGGAATGTTCCCTCTATCCCTACACTCTGAAGAGTTTTGATCAGGAATGCATGCTGTACTTTGTCAAATGCTTTCTCTGCATCTAATGAGTGGATCATATGGTTCTTGGTTTTTCTCTTGCTGATATGATGAATCCACATTGATTGTTTTACGAGTGTTGAACCAGCCTTGTGTCCCAGGGATAAATCCTACTTGGTCATGGTGAATAATTTTCTTAATGTGCTGTTGGATCCTATTGGCTAGTATCTTGTTGAGAATTTTTGCATCCATGTTCATCAGGGATATTGGTCTGTAATTCTCCTTTTTGGTGGGGTCTTTGTCTGGTTTTGGAATTAAGGTGATGCTGGCCTCATAGAACGAATTTGGAAGTACTCTATCTCTTTCTGTCTTTCCAAACAGCTTTAGTAGAATAGGTATGGTTTCTTCTTTAAACGTTTGATAGAATTCCCCTGGGAAGCCATCTGGCCCTGGACTTTTGTGTCTTGGGAGGTTTTTGATGACTGCTTCAATTTCCTCCCTGGTTCAGGTTTTCTATTTCTTCCAGTTCCAGTTTTGGTAGTTTGTGGCTTTCCAGGAATGCGTCCATTTCTTCTAGATTGCCTAATTTATTGGCGTAGAGCTGTTCATAATATGTTTTTGAAATCGTTTGTATTTCCTTGGTGTTGGTAGTGATCTCTCCTTTCTCATTCATGATTTTATTAGTCTTCTCTCTCTTCTTGTTAATAAGGCTGGCTAATGGTTTGTCTATCTTATTAATTCTTTCCAGGAACCAACTTCTAGTTTTGTTGATCTGTTCCACAGTTCTTCTGGGCTCGATTTCGTTGAGTTCTGCTCGAATCTTTATTAACTCTCTTCTTATGCTGGGTGTCGGATCTATTTGCTGTTTTTTCTCTAGCTCCTTATGTGTAAGGTTAGCTTTTGTATTTGAGTTTTTTCCAGTGTTTGGAGGGATGCTTGTATTGCGTTGTATTTCCCCCTGAGGACTGCTTTTGCTGCATCCCAAAGATTTTGAACGGTTGTATCTTCATTCTCATTAGTTTCCATGAATCTTTTTAATTCTTCCTTAATTTTCTGGTTGACCCTTTCATCTTTTAGCAGGATAGTCCTTAACCTCCATGTGCTTGAGGTCCTTCCAAACTTCTTGTTGATTTAGTTCTAATTTCAAAGCATTATGGTCTGAGAATATGCAGGGATGATCCCAATCTTTTGGTATCTGTTCAGACCCGATTTGTGACCCAGTATGTGGTCTATTCTGGAGAAAGTTCCATGTGCACTTGAGAAGAATGTGTATTCAGTTGAGTTTGGATGTAAAGTTCTGTAGATATCTGTGAAATCCATCTGGTCCAGTGTATCATTTAAAGCTCTCGTTTCTTTGGAGATGTTGTGCTTAGAAGACCTATCAAGTTAGAAAGCGCTAGATTGAAGCCACCAAGTATAAGTGTATTATTATCTAAGTATTTCTTCATTTGGTTATTAATTGATTTAAATATTTGGCAGCTCCCACATTCGCGGCCTATATATTGAGGATTGTTAAGTCCTCTTGTTGGATAGATTCTTTAAGTATGATATAGTGTCTATCTTCATCTCTCACTACAGTCTTTGGTGTAAATTTTAGTTTATCTGATATAAGGATGGCTACCCCTCTTTCTTTTGAGGACCATTTGTTTTTTTTTAATAAATTAATTTTTATTGGTGTTCAATTTACCAACATATAGAATAACACCCAGTGCTCATCCCGTCAAGTGTCCCCCTCAGTGCCCGTCACCCATTCACCCCCACCCCCCACCCTCCTCCCCTTCCACCACCCCTATTTCGTTTCCCAGAGTTAGGAGTCTTTATGTTCTGTGTCCCTTTCTGATATTTCCCACACATTTCTTCTCCCTTCCCTTATATTCCCTTTCACTATTATTCATATTCCCCAAATGAATGAGAACATACACTGTTTGTCTTTCTCCGATTGACTTACTTCACTCAGCATAATACCTTGAGGACCATTTGAATGGTAAATGGTTCTCCAACCTTTTATTTTCAGGTTGTAGGTGTCCTTCTGTCTAAAATGAGTCTTTGGAGATGTTGTGTTTAGAAGACCTATCAAGTGTAGAAAGTGTTAGATTGAAGTTACCAAGTATAAGTGTATTATTATCTAAGTATGTCTTAACTTTGGTTATTAATTGATATATTTGGCAGCTCCCACATTTGGAACGTATATATTGATGATTGTTAAGTCCTCCTGTTGGATAGATCATTTAAGTATGATATAGTGTCCCTCTTCATCTCTTACTACAGTATTTGGGATAAACTTTAGTTTATCTGATATAAGTATGGCTACCCCTTCTTTCTTTTGAGTACCATTTGAATGGTAAAGGGTTCCGCAACCTTTTATTTTCAGGCTGTAGGTGTCCTTCTGTCTAAAATTAGTCTTATAGACCATATAATGTTTGTCCTTCTCCGATTGACTTATTTCACACAGCATAATACCTTCCAGTTCTGAGAGTGCATTTTCTTTATTGTTTTTCCTTTGTCAGGATATTTCAGCACAAATTCTCTGCTTTAATTAATCTTCATTGTAAAATAACTCCTAGTGTCTTTGGAAGAAGAACCAGTGGTTAGTAATTTCTGTTTACTGATCTTGGTTTGACTTGGCTAATAGCCACTTGGGTTTAATGTTTGTCCTATTCATGTGAGCAAAGCCTTTTTTCATCCTAAAGGTGACTATGTGGGACAATGATTATGTTATTTAAATTCTTTCTTCTTTGGACTCCTTATTACTTTTGCATGGTGTACAATTAACATTTGGTCATATAGTTTTCCAGTGACAAAAAGATGTAATTTTGGCTATCGGGGGGTAAGTCTGCTGGAGTCTATGAGAAATAAACACAAAAAGGACAAACTATGATATATGCTTAATTGTTTATTTTGAAGCTTTATGCAATTTAGTTTTTTGATTTAATGAATCCACAATAATATAGAGTCCCATTAAAGAATAGTAGAGGAATATGGATCGAGCCCTGATATTAACATAGCAGCTTTGGCCTCTAGAATGACAATGTTATATTTTTGACAAAGATTAATATAATAATCTACAAAGATTCTAAAATTTAACCTCTCAAAAGAGAAATCCTTGCTTGAAAACTAACAACCCCAAATACTGAGTTTTCTAAAACTACTGACACTGATTTTGGACATTACCCATCCTAACTAAAGATTTAAATATGCGAAAAATGAAACTATCACCAAGGAAAGAAAGAGTGTAACTTGCTTAAAATAAATGAGATATTTTTTGGAAGTATATTTTGAAATTACTTGATTTAAAGTTATGTGTGGGTTCATATTCCTACAATCTGGATTATTTTCTTATCACTTTATCATCATAATTAAAAATTTGTGACTGAATAAATCCCAAACATTGCGAATTGTCATGTGAATGGCAATATATTCCTGGGTGCATTTTCCTCTCTGTTATACTGGATACCACAGAATCTTCTCAATATTCACAGAAGTCTTTGAATTCCACATAGCTGGAATCATGACTTCTACTACCATTCTGACTGAACAAACATTGAATCAGACGGACCAGGATTTTCTCTCTGATCCTGAAGACTCCCTGGATGTCTGGAGGTATTTAGAGAGTGCCCATGACTAGACCCTTGTCTTCTCCCAATACCAGTGTCTGACTGTCCGTGACCAGACTGACACTGTACATGATCGCTTCTCTGCCTCTGTTGAGACTCAGAGTGTCCAGCGCTGTCTCCTGCATGGCCACGGGCAGATCCCTGTTGCTTTCCTGAGCCAGACACATACTGTCTCTCGGAGTCCTCTGTGTGTCCTTCACTGTCACTGTCCTGACTAATGCTGGACCCCCGGTTGGTGACTGGCCTGAATTCAGAGGACGATTGTCCCTGCCCGGACTGCGATGGCCTGGAGCCCTGTGCCCGAGTGGACGATTGCTGGTGGTGAGATCCTGACTCAGAATGTCCAAAATCGGCTGCCTGACCCTCATGGGAGCCTGAGTGTCTAGAGCTGTCATGGGCCTGGTCATGGCGGGGTCCTTGTCTCCCCCTGGTACTGGATTGGGACTGTCCGTGGGCAGAATCAAAGTGTTCTTGGGGGGCTATCTGGTAGAAATAAGATGCTGAGTGCTCAGAACTGCCGTGTGCACTGCTGCCACGTTGTCTCCTCTGACTGGACCTGGACCGTTCCTGGACTGACCCTGACTGACTCTCTGAGTCTAGTGATTGTCCTTCACTGTCGCTGGCCTGACTGACACTGGATTCCCGGTGTTTGCTGTTACCAGAACCATGTCCAGTTCGCGAGTGTCTGGAGCTGTCCTGTGACTGCTGATGGTGGCGCCCTTGTCTGTCTATGGTGCTGAGATCTGAGTCTCGATGGGCAGAGTCAGGCTGCCCACGGGTGGCCTGTTGTCCTTGATGTGACCCTGTGTGTCTGGCTCTGTCTCCTGACTGCTCGTGGCGGCTTCCTTGTCTTTCCCTAGTGCTGGATCCCGAGTCTCGGTGGGCAGAGTCAGGCTGCCCACGGGCGGCCTGCTGTCCTTGGCGTGACCCTGCGTGTCTGGCTCTGTCTCCTGACTGCTCGTGGCGGCTTCCTTGTCTTTCCCTAGTGCTGGATCCCGAGTCTCGGTGGGCAGAGTCAGGCTGCCCACGGGCGGCCTGCTGTCCTTGGCGTGACCCTGCGTGTCTGGCTCTGTCTCCTGACCGCTCGTGGCGGCTTCCTTGTGTTTCCCTAGTGCTGGATCCCGAGTCTCGGTGGGCAGGGTCAGACTGCCTGTGAGTGCCTGTCTGCCCTTGACGTGACCCCAACTGTGTGGATCTGTCAGTTGACTGACCATGGGTAGACCCACGTTGGTTTCTTGAACTGGACCCAGAATCTCCACGGGTCTTTAGGAATTCTCTACCTGAATCTTCTGAATGTCCTTCCCTCACGCTGGATTCCTGATGTCTGCTTGTCCTGGGTCCAGAGGACAATGGTCCGTGTTCAGAGCCTGAGTGTCCGGATCTGTCTGTTGACTGCTCATGCTGGGTTTCTCGTCTTCCTCCCGTGCTCGATCTTGACCGGCCATGGACGGAGTCAGCGTGTCCCCGGGCGGGTGACCCTGCACGATGGGATCCTGGAAGTCTAGAGGTATCTTGAGAGTGCCCAAGACTAGACCCTTGTCTTCGCCCAGTACCAGTGTCTGACTGTCCGTGACCAGACTGAGTCTGTCCATGATCGCTTCTCTGCCTCTGTTGAGACTCAGAGTGTCCAGCGCTGTCTCCTGCATGGCCACGGGCAGATCCCTGTTGCTTTCCTGAGCCAGACACATACTGTCTCTCGGAGTCCTCTGTGTGTCCTTCACTGTCACTGTCCTGACTAATGCTGGACCCCCGGTTGGTGACTGGCCTGAATTCAGAGGACGATTGTCCCTGCCCGGACTGCGATGGCCTGGAGCCCTGTGCCCGAGTGGACGATTGCTGGTGGTGAGATCCTGACTCAGAATGTCCAAAATCGGCTGCCTGACCCTCATGGGAGCCTGAGTGTCTAGAGCTGTCATGGGCCTGGTCATGGCGGGGTCCTTGTCTCCCCCTGGTACTGGATTGGGACTGTCCGTGGGCAGAATCAAAGTGTTCTTGGGGGGCTATCTGGTAGAAATAAGATGCTGAGTGCTCAGAACTGCCGTGTGCACTGCTGCCACGTTGTCTCCTCTGACTGGACCTGGACCGTTCCTGGACTGACCCTGACTGACTCTCTGAGTCTAGTGATTGTCCTTCACTGTCGCTGGCCTGACTGACACTGGATTCCCGGTGTTTGCTGTTACCAGAACCATGTCCAGTTCGCGAGTGTCTGGAGCTGTCCTGTGACTGCTGATGGTGGCGCCCTTGTCTGTCTATGGTGCTGAGATCTGAGTCTCGATGGGCAGAGTCAGGCTGCCCACGGGTGGCCTGTTGTCCTTGATGTGACCCTGCGTGTCTGGCTCTGTCTCCTGACTGCTCGTGGCGGCTTCCTTGTCTTTCCCTAGTGCTGGATCCCGAGTCTCGGTGGGCAGAGTCAGGCTGCCCACGGGCGGCCTGCTGTCCTTGGCGTGACCCTGCGTGTCTGGCTCTGTCTCCTGACTGCTCGTGGCGGCTTCCTTGTCTTTCCCTAGTGCTGGATCCCGAGTCTCGGTGGGCAGAGTCAGGCTGCCCACGGGCGGCCTGCTGTCCTTGGCGTGACCCTGCGTGTCTGGCTCTGTCTCCTGACTGCTCGTGGCGGCTTCCTTGTCTTTCCCTAGTGCTGGATCCCGAGTCTCGGTGGGCAGAGTCAGGCTGCCCACGGGCGGCCTGCTGTCCTTGGCGTGACCCTGCGTGTATGGCTCTGTCTACTGACCGCTCGTGGCGGCTTCCTTGTGTTTCCCTAGTGCTGGATCCCGAGTCTCGGTGGGCAGGGTCAGACTGCCTGTGAGTGCCTGTCTGCCCTTGACGTGACCCCAACTGTGTGGATCTGTCAGTTGACTGACCATGGGTAGACCCACGTTGGTTTCTTGAACTGGACCCAGAATCTCCACGGGTCTTTAGGAATTCTCTACCTGAATCTTCTGAATGTCCTTCCCTCATGCTGGATTCCTGATGTCTGCTTGTCCTGGGTCCAGAGGACAATGGTCCGTGTTCAGAGCCTGAGTGTCCGGATTTGTCTGTTGACTGCTCATGCTGGGTTTCTCGTCTTCCTCCCGTGCTCGATCTTGACCGGCCATGGACGGAGTCAGCGTGTCCCCGGGCGGGTGACCCTGCACGATGGGACCCTGGAAGTCTAGAGGTATCTTGAGAGTGCCCATGACTAGATCCTTGTCTTCGCCCAGTACCAGTGTCTGACTGTCCGTGACCAGACTGAGTCTGTCCATGATCGCTTCTCTGCCTCTGTTGAGACTCAGAGTGTCTAGCGCTGTCTCCTGCATGGCCACGGGCAGATCCCTGTTGCTTTCCTGAGCCAGACACATACTGTCTCTCGGAGTCCTCTGTGTGTCCTTCACTGTCACTGTCCTGACTAATGCTGGACCCTCGGTTGGTGACTGGCCTGAATTCAGAGGACGATTGTCCCTGCCCGGACTGCGATGGCCTGGAGCCCTGTGCCCGAGTGGACGATTGCTGGTGGTGAGATCCTGACTCAGAATGTCCAAAATCGGCTGCCTGACCCTCATGGGAGCCTGAGTGTCTAGAGCTGTCATGGGCCTGGTCATGGAGGGGTCCTTGTCTCCCCCTGGTACTGGATTGGGACTGTCCGTGGGCAGAATCAAAGTGTTCTTGGGGGGCTATCTGGTAGAAATAAGATGCTGAGTGCTCAGAACTGCCGTGTGCACTGCTGCCACGTTGTCTCCTCTGACTGGACCTGGACCGTTCCTGGACTGACCCTGACTGACTCTCTGAGTCTAGTGATTGTCCTTCACTGTCGCTGGCCTGACTGACACTGGATTCCCGGTGTTTGCTGTTACCAGATCCATGTCCAGTTCGCGAGTGTCTGGAGCTGTCCTGTGACTGCTGATGGTGGCGCCCTTGTCTGTCTATGGTGCTGAGATCTGAGTCTCGATGGGCAGAGTCAGGCTGCCCACGGGTGGCCTGTTGTCCTTGATGTGACCCTGCGTGTCTGGCTCTGTCTCCTGACTGCTCGTGGCGGCTTCCTTGTCTTTCCCTAGTGCTGGATCCCGAGTCTCGGTGGGCAGAGTCAGGCTGCCCACGGGTGGCCTGCTGTCCTTGGCGTGACCCTGCGAGTCTGGCTCTGTCTCCTGACTGCTCGTGGCGGCTTCCTTGTCTTTCCCTAGTGCTGGATCCCGAGTCTCGGTGGGCAGAGTCAGGCTGCCCACGGGCGGCCTGCTGTCCTTGGCGTGACCCTGCGTGTCTGGCTCTGTCTCCTGACTGCTCGTGGCGGCTTCCTTGTCTTTCCCTAGTGCTGGATCCCGAGTCTCGGTGGGCAGAGTCAGGCTGCCCACGGGCGGCCTGCTGTCCTTGGCGTGACCCTGCGTGTCTGGCTCTGTCTACTGACCGCTCGTGGCGGCTTCCTTGTGTTTCCCTAGTGCTGGATCCCGAGTCTCGGTGGGCAGGGTCAGACTGCCTGTGAGTGCCTGTCTGCCCTTGACGTGACCCCAACTGTGTGGATCTGTCAGTTGACTGACCATGGGTAGACCCACGTTGGTTTCTTGAACTGGACCCAGAATCTCCACGGGTCTTTAGGAATTCTCTACCTGAATCTTCTGAATGTCCTTCCCTCACGCTGGATTCCTGATGTCTGCTTGTCCTGGGTCCAGAGGACAATGGTCCGTGTTCAGAGCCTGAGTGTCCGGATCTGTCTGTTGACTGCTCATGCTGGGTTTCTCGTCTTCCTCCCGTGCTCGATCTTGACCGGCCATGGACGGAGTCAGCGTGTCCCCGGGCGGGTGACCCTGCACGATGGGATCCTGGAAGTCTAGAGGTATCTTGAGAGTGCCCAAGACTAGACCCTTGTCTTCGCCCAGTACCAGTGTCTGACTGTCCGTGACCAGACTGAGTCTGTCCATGATCGCTTCTCTGCCTCTGTTGAGACTCAGAGTGTCTAGCGCTGTCTCCTGCATGGCCACGGGCAGATCCCTGTTGCTTTCCTGAGCCAGACACATACTGTCTCTCGGAGTCCTCTGTGTGTCCTTCACTGTCACTGTCCTGACTAATGCTGGACCCTCGGTTGGTGACTGGCCTGAATTCAGAGGACGATTGTCCCTGCCCGGACTGCGATGGCCTGGAGCCCTGTGCCCGAGTGGACGATTGCTGGTGGTGAGATCCTGACTCAGAATGTCCAAAATCGGCTGCCTGACCCTCATGGGAGCCTGAGTGTCTAGAGCTGTCATGGGCCTGGTCATGGCGGGGTCCTTGTCTCCCCCTGGTACTGGATTGGGACTGTCCGTGGGCAGAATCAAAGTGTTCTTGGGGGGCTATCTGGTAGAAATAAGATGCTGAGTGCTCAGAACTGCCGTGTGCACTGCTGCCACGTTGTCTCCTCTGACTGGACCTGGACCGTTCCTGGACTGACCCTGACTGACTCTCTGAGTCTAGTGATTGTCCTTCACTGTCGCTGGCCTGACTGACACTGGATTCCCGGTGTTTGCTGTTACCAGAACCATGTCCAGTTCGCGAGTGTCTGGAGCTGTCCTGTGACTGCTGATGGTGGCGCCCTTGTCTGTCTATGGTGCTGAGATCTGAGTCTCGATGGGCAGAGTCAGGCTGCCCACGGGTGGCCTGCTGTCCTTGATGTGACCCTGCGTGTCTGGCTCTGTCTCCTGACTGCTCGTGGCGGCTTCCTTGTCTTTCCCTAGTGCTGGATCCCGAGTCTCGGTGGGCAGAGTCAGGCTGCCCACGGGCGGCCTGCTGTCCTTGGCGTGACCCTGCGTGTCTGGCTCTGTCTCCTGACTGCTCGTGGCGGCTTCCTTGTCTTTCCCTAGTGCTGGATCTCGAGTCTCGGTGGGCAGATTCAGGGTGCCCACGGGTGGCCTGCTGTCCTTGGCGTGACCCTGCGTGTCTGGCTCTGTCTCCTGACCGCTCGTGGCGGCTTCCTTGTGTTTCCCTAGTGCTGGATCCCGAGTCTCGGTGGGCAGGGTCAGACTGCCTGTGAGTGCCTGTCTGCCCTTGACGTGACCCCAACTGTGTGGATCTGTCAGTTGACTGACCATGGGTAGACCCACGTTGGTTTCTTGAACTGGACCCAGAATCTCCACGGGTCTTTAGGAATTCTCTACCTGAATCTTCTGAATGTCCTTCCCTCACGCTGGATTCCTGATGTCTGCTTGTCCTGGGTCCAGAGGACAATGGTCCGTGTTCAGAGCCTGAGTGTCCGGATCTGTCTGTTGACTGCTCATGCTGGGTTTCTCGTCTTCCTCCCGTGCTCGATCTTGACCGGCCATGGACGGAGTCAGCGTGTCCCCGGGCGGGTGACCCTGCACGATGGGATCCTGGAAGTCTAGAGGTATCTTGAGAGTGCCCAAGACTAGACCCTTGTCTTCGCCCAGTACCAGTGTCTGACTGTCCGTGACCAGACTGAGTCTGTCCATGATCGCTTCTCTGCCTCTGTTGAGACTCAGAGTGTCTAGCGCTGTCTCCTGCATGGCCACGGGCAGATCCCTGTTGCTTTCCTGAGCCAGACACATACTGTCTCTCGGAGTCCTCTGTGTGTCCTTCACTGTCACTGTCCTGACTAATGCTGGACCCTCGGTTGGTGACTGGCCTGAATTCAGAGGACGATTGTCCCTGCCCGGACTGCGATGGCCTGGAGCCCTGTGCCCGAGTGGACGATTGCTGGTGGTGAGATCCTGACTCAGAATGTCCAAAATCGGCTGCCTGACCCTCATGGGAGCCTGAGTGTCTAGAGCTGTCATGGGCCTGGTCATGGCGGGGTCCTTGTCTCCCCCTGGTACTGGATTGGGACTGTCCGTGGGCAGAATCAAAGTGTTCTTGGGGGGCTATCTGGTAGAAATAAGATGCTGAGTGCTCAGAACTGCCGTGTGCACTGCTGCCACGTTGTCTCCTCTGACTGGACCTGGACCGTTCCTGGACTGACCCTGACTGACTCTCTGAGTCTAGTGATTGTCCTTCACTGTCGCTGGCCTGACTGACACTGGATTCCCGGTGTTTGCTGTTACCAGAACCATGTCCAGTTCGCGAGTGTCTGGAGCTGTCCTGTGACTGCTGATGGTGGCGCCCTTGTCTGTCTATGGTGCTGAGATCTGAGTCTCGATGGGCAGAGTCAGGCTGCCCACGGGTGGCCTGTTGTCCTTGATGTGACCCTGCGTGTCTGGCTCTGTCTCCTGACTGCTCGTGGCGGCTTCCTTGTCTTTCCCTAGTGCTGGATCCCGAGTCTCGGTGGGCAGAGTCAGGCTGCCCACGGGCGGCCTGCTGTCCTTGGCGTGACCCTGCGTGTCTGGCTCTGTCTCCTGACTGCTCGTGGCGGCTTCCTTGTCTTTCCCTAGTGCTGGATCTCGAGTCTCGGTGGGCAGATTCAGGGTGCCCACGGGTGGCCTGCTGTCCTTGGTGTGACCCTGCGTGTCTGGCTCTGTCTCCTGACCGCTCGTGGCGGCTTCCTTGTGTTTCCCTAGTGCTGGATCCCGAGTCTCGGTGGGCAGGGTCAGACTGCCTGTGAGTGCCTGTCTGCCCTTGACGTGACCCCAACTGTGTGGATCTGTCAGTTGACTGACCATGGGTAGACCCACGTTGGTTTCTTGAACTGGACCCAGAATCTCCACGGGTCTTTAGGAATTCTCTACCTGAATCTTCTGAATGTCCTTCCCTCACGCTGGATTCCTGATGTCTGCTTGTCCTGGGTCCAGAGGACAATGGTCCGTGTTCAGAGCCTGAGTGTCCGGATCTGTCTGTTGACTGCTCATGCTGGGTTTCTCGTCTTCCTCCCGTGCTCGATCTTGACCGGCCATGGACGGAGTCAGCGTGTCCCCGGGCGGGTGACCCTGCACGATGGGACCCTGGAAGTCTAGAGGTATCTTGAGAGTGCCCATGACTAGATCCTTGTCTTCGCCCAGTACCAGTGTCTGACTGTCCGTGACCAGACTGAGTCTGTCCATGATCGCTTCTCTGCCTCTGTTGAGACTCAGAGTGTCTAGCGCTGTCTCCTGCATGGCCACGGGCAGATCCCTGTTGCTTTCCTGAGCCAGACACATACTGTCTCTCGGAGTCCTCTGTGTGTCCTTCACTGTCACTGTCCTGACTAATGCTGGACCCCCGGTTGGTGACTGGCCTGAATTCAGAGGACGATTGTCCCTGCCCGGACTGCGATGGCCTGGAGCCCTGTGCCCGAGTGGACGATTGCTGGTGGTGAGATCCTGACTCAGAATGTCCAAAATCGGCTGCCTGACCCTCATGGGAGCCTGAGTGTCTAGAGCTGTCATGGGCCTGGTCATGGCGGGGTCCTTGTCTCCCCCTGGTACTGGATTGGGACTGTCCGTGGGCAGAATCAAAGTGTTCTTGGGGGGCTATCTGGTAGAAATAAGATGCTGAGTGCTCAGAACTGCCGTGTGCACTGCTGCCACGTTGTCTCCTCTGACTGGACCTGGACCGTTCCTGGACTGACCCTGACTGACTCTCTGAGTCTAGTGATTGTCCTTCACTGTCGCTGGCCTGACTGACACTGGATTCCCGGTGTTTGCTGTTACCAGAACCATGTCCAGTTCGCGAGTGTCTGGAGCTGTCCTGTGACTGCTGATGGTGGCGCCCTTGTCTGTCTATGGTGCTGAGATCTGAGTCTCGATGGGCAGAGTCAGGCTGCCCACGGGTGGCCTGTTGTCCTTGATGTGACCCTGCGTGTCTGGCTCTGTCTCCTGACTGCTCGTGGCGGCTTCCTTGTCTTTCCCTAGTGCTGGATCCCGAGTCTCGGTGGGCAGAGTCAGGCTGCCCACGGGTGGCCTGCTGTCCTTGGCGTGACCCTGCGTGTCTGGCTCTGTCTCCTGACTGCTCGTGGCGGCTTCCTTGTCTTTCCCTAGTGCTGGATCCCGAGTCTCGGTGGGCAGAGTCAGGCTGCCCACGGGCGGCCTGCTGTCCTTGGCGTGACCCTGCGTGTCTGGCTCTGTCTCCTGACTCCTCGTGGCGGCTTCCTTGTCTTTCCCTAGTGCTGGATCCCGAGTCTCGGTGGGCAGAGTCAGGGTGCCCATGGGCGGCCTGCTGTCCTTGGCGTGACCCTGCGTGTCTGGCTCTGTCTCCTGACTGCTCGTGGCGGCTTCCTTGTGTTTCCCTAGTGCTGGATCCCGAGTCTCGGTGGGCAGGGTCAGACTGCCTGTGAGTGCCTGTCTGCCCTTGACGTGACCCCAACTGTGTGGATCTGTCAGTTGACTGACCATGGGTAGACCCACGTTGGTTTCTTGAACTGGACCCAGAATCTCCATGGGTCTTTAGGAATTCTCTACCTGAATCTTCTGAATGTCCTTCCCTCACGCTGGATTCCTGATGTCTGCTTGTCCTGGGTCCAGAGGACAATGGTCCGTGTTCAGAGCCTGAGTGTCCGGATCTGTCTGTTGACTGCTCATGCTGGGTTTCTTGTCTTCCTCCCGTGCTCGATCTTGACCGGCCATGGACGGAGTCAGCGTGTCCCCGGGCGGGTGACCCTGCACGATGGGACCCTGGAAGTCTAGAGGTATCTTGAGAGTGCCCATGACTAGATCCTTGTCTTCGCCCAGTACCAGTGTCTGACTGTCCGTGACCAGACTGAGTCTGTCCATGATCGCTTCTCTGCCTCTGTTGAGACTCAGAGTGTCTAGCGCTGTCTCCTGCATGGCCACGGGCAGATCCCTGTTGCTTTCCTGAGCCAGACACATACTGTCTCTCGGAGTCCTCTGTGTGTCCTTCACTGTCACTGTCCTGACTAATGCTGGACCCCCGGTTGGTGACTGGCCTGAATTCAGAGGACGATTGTCCCTGCCCGGACTGCGATGGCCTGGAGCCCTGTGCCCGAGTGGACGATTGCTGGTGGTGAGATCCTGACTCAGAATGTCCAAAATCGGCTGCCTGACCCTCATGGGAGCCTGAGTGTCTAGAGCTGTCATGGGCCTGGTCATGGAGGGGTCCTTGTCTCCCCCTGGTACTGGATTGGGACTGTCCGTGGGCAGAATCAAAGTGTTCTTGGGGGGCTATCTGGTAGAGATAAGATGCTGAGTGCTCAGAACTGCCGTGTGCACTGCTGCCACGTTGTCTCCTCTGACTGGACCTGGACCGTTCCTGGACTGACCCTGACTGACTCTCTGAGTCTAGTGATTGTCCTTCACTGTCGCTGGCCTGACTGACACTGGATTCCCGGTGTTTGCTGTTACCAGATCCATGTCTAGTTCGCGAGTGTCTGGAGCTGTCCTGTGAATGCTGATGGTGGCGCCCTTGTCTCTTCGTAGTGGTGGATACTGAATCTCGTTCTGTGGATTTGGACTGCCTCTTTTTGATGGTTTTCTTGTGATGTAACCGAGGTTGTCTGGATCTGTCAGCCACCTCATCCTGTGTAGGCCTGTGCTCTTTTCCTGATGTTAATCCAGACTTTCTGTGATGTTTTGAGAAATCTGTGTTTGAATTTACCACATGTCCTTCATTTTCACTGGTGTGTTCTGTACTGGATCCCCTTTGTGTCCCTGCCCTTAACCCGGAATATTGTTTTCTACGTCCAGTTTCTGAATGTGTGGTTCCATCTTCTGACTGCCTCTGCTTGTTTTCTTGTCTTCCTCTTCTGCTTGATTTTGAGTGCTTATGGAATGATTCAGTGTTTTCCCAAGACGAATTCTCTCTATGAGGAAACCCTGATTGTCTAGAGGTGTGTGTAGAGTTTCCTTGAGTTGATCCTTGTCTTCTTCTTGTACCAGAGTCTGACTGTCTATGGGTAGACTCTGAGTGTCCATGATTTTTTCTCTGCCCTCCACAAGACTCAGAGTGTCTAGAGTTGTTTTCTGCATGGCTATGTGCAGATTCTCCTTGGTTTCCTGGGCCAAATCCATATTGTCTCTCAGAGTCTTCCGTGTGTCCTTCGCTGTTACTGTCCTGATTTATACTGGACTCCCAGTTTTTCACTGACCTAAATTCAGATGATGATTTTCCTTGTCTGGATTGTGATTGTCTGGATCTGTTTGTTTGCGTGGATGGTTGATAGTGGTGAGATCCTGAGTCAGGGTGCCCAAAATTGGCTCCCTTAGTGTCATGGGAGCCTGCATGTCTAGAGCTGTCTGGTGTCTGTTCATGTTCCTCTCCTCTTCTTCCTTTTAGGCTCTTGGATATTGTCTTCTTACCTTTTCTTTCATTTCTTCCTGCTTGATTGGAACTTTGAATTCTTTCTTCTTTTTCTTCCTCTACTTCGTCTTCTTCTCTGTCATCTTCTTCATCTTGTGTGTGGTATGCATATTTTTTTTGGTTTTGCTCTGATGCTTGGGGGTTCTGTCTCCTGGTCAAATCATAATATGCTTGAGCCAACTTGAATACCATCAGAAAAAACTCTGAGAAGTCTATTTTCTTGTCATGGTCTAAATCAAGAATATGCATGAAGATGTCAGCAGTGTCTGGGTCATCTGGATTCTGTACATGTGAAAGATGGAAGGAGGTTACAGGAGAATGACAATTGGTCACTTGAATAATTTACACTATTTTGGCAAACATGAATTTTGGTAAGTAAATGTTGGATACTATGTGTTTTTTTCTGTAATAATATTCTACTTATGGTGAGTTAGGTGGAACACTATGTATTTTACTAAAAGCCTAAATATAAATGCTGGTTTGTTAAAACTAAAATATTTGGTTGGTCATCTGCTTTGTTTTCTTTATACGTCATGATGTTATGAAGTCCATCAGTTCGTTGTCTCTTAAATATACTTGTAAACATTCTTGATGTTAGGAAACACAATATGAAGATATTCTTCAATATATAAAGAATACTTATTTGGTGTTAATTATCTTATCATTGAATATTCATATTTATTTCACAGAAGATGTGTGTTTGTGTGTTGTGCATTATGCACATGTGTGCATGTATATTAAAGATATTAAGAGAGGAAAACAAATTCTATTTGTTTTGAAATAAGATTAGGTCTTTTTCTATTCTAGAAGAAATAATTCATAGAATTCCAGAAGAAATTCCAAAATTTCTATTCCAGAAGAAATAATAAAATTTCACAGTTATTATTTGTCATATTGTTGCAGAACAAGCGTGATGTACCCATTCGTTCCAGGAGATATCCCTTACCTTCAGGATTGGCCGAAACTCCATTTCCAGGAGCTCCTTCAGTTCTTCTCTGCTTAGTGTATCAGTTTCCTTATCTGTTGTTGAGTAGTCATGGAATAGGTCAATAATGGCAATGATATTTTCCAGGAGAGTAGACATCTTTTTGGAAGTTAAGGTGAACCTGGAAAGAAGAAATAAAAATGTACTTCTTGTATATCTTTCCTTTTTATAGGTCTTATTAATTATTATAATGAACTTCCACATTTAATAGAAAGATTTATTTATTTTAGAGATAGAAGGGGAGAGAGGGAGCGAGAGGTGGGGAGGGGTAGAGGGATAGAGAGAGTCTTATACATATTCTGCACTGAGCATGGAGCCAGACACTGGGCTCAATCTCATGACCATGAGATCATGAACTGAGCCAAAATCAAGAGATGGATGTTTAACTGACTGTGCCACCCAAGTTCCCCAATTCCACATTTTTAAGCCCATATATTCCTCTATGTAATCTATCTTTACAAATAGAAGAGTGCCCAGAAAAGCTCTCTACTATCTAAATAGTGAAAATCAACACAGAGTTCAACTGAATTATTAAACTACAAATTCTTGGACTTAAACCCATTCATAGCAGTATTTACGGTCTTACAGACTCAGTGAGCTATTGGTAATGCCATCACTCTTATTGATCTGATCATGACCCATAGCAAGATTTTATTTTTTAGTTTAATTAAAAAAATTTTAAACTTGAATATGGTTAACACACAATATTATAGTAGTTTCAGGTGTATGGCACAGTGACTCAGCCTCTCTATATGTTATGCATAGCAGGATTCTAGAGAGGCCCGCTGGTTAGAAGCAGGAAAACTTATTCATATAAATTTGCTGAAAAAGAATTCTCCAGAAGCTGATTTGCTAAATGATCATTATGTTTAGAGATAATTTTCGGAAAGCTAATTTGCCAAATGGCTGAGACAGTCAATGAATGTTCATACAATTTATTTTTTTCGACATTTCATGAAGTATGCAGTATTTTTAATTGGGTAGGGTGGCTTTACTAGCTTTTCAATATTATAAAAATTTTTCCATTGACTGGCCTTCATTTTGCCACTTAAGGAATGCATTTAAGGAATGTTCAATTTATCTAATTGGTGAAAAAATAAATTACTCAACATGTTAATAAATTTAAATAAGCATTTATTTTATAAAAGCATTATAATGATTACTTTAGACTTTAGGAGTTACAAAACCAGACAAAAGTAAAAAGACATGACTGTTATAGAGCTAAATGCATGTATGAGCCTTGGATTGTTTTATCAGAGGAGATAGATATTAATTCATTATTAAGATTCTTAAACCTATATTTTGATGAATTTTTGGTAACCACTAAGAGAATAGAATTTATAACTTCTAAACCATTGAAAGGAAAAGAGGAATTTAAAAAATGCAAAATGCAATCAATACAGTAGAAGCCAGAAAAGAAGAAACATAGAAAAGGCAGAAAATATAAAATACAACAGTAGGATTACATATAATTTTATCATGAATTACAATATATGTGTGCATTGATCAGACTGGCTGGCTAAAAGGTTGTAAAGATTGAATTAAGAAATATAGTTGTATGCTTTTTATAAAAATCATACCTAAGATTTCAGATTTTTTTTTTGGCACAGTGGAGTCACTGTCATTTACAGTGATATTCCAGACCTTGGACTTATCCGTAATTGCACTGTCCCCACAATCTCAGTCTCAGGGATTCCACTCTCTGACTTTCTCTTATACCCTGATTTCCTTTTTTTAAAAATATTTTATTTAAATTCAATTTGCCAACATATAGTATAACACCCAGTGCTCATCCCATAAAGTGCCCTCCTCAGTGCCCATCACCCAGCTACCCAATCCCCCACCCGCCTCCCCGTCCACAAATCCTTTGTTTCCCAGAGTTAGGAGTCTCTCATCATTTGTCTCCCTCTCTAATTTTTCCCTGCTCAGTTTCCCTCCTTTCCCTTATTGTCCCTTTCATTATTTCTTATATTCTATGTATGAGCGAAACCATATGATTGTCCTTCTCCAATTGACTTATTTCACTCAGCATGATGCCCTCCAGTTCCATCCACAATTGAAGTAAATGTATACTCTGATTTCAGTTATTCTTTGGCCTCCCTGTCAATTTACTGCATTGTGTACTTATTTCTCTTTTTATTTTAATTTGTTTTGATTTATTTTGGTTGGACACTTGGTTAATCTCCATCATTGCTCCTGGAATGTACCCTCTCTACCTTGTCCCCCTCTTTCTTGTGTCAATGATACAAGAGTGCTCCAAGGTATCACTGATACCTTGCCCCACTCTTTCTTGTATCTAACAGTGACTTCCTTTCCTTTATCTCAGAAGATGTCCTTGATTTTTATTTTTGAGAACTTGGAAGCCAATGAAAAGAGTTTCTTCATTTTTCCAGTATCTGATCTCTCAGCCTAGTGCATTTGTATCCATATACCTTCACCCTCATTGCCATTGTGTGGATATGCATACAGTCTGTGCTCCTGTCCTCTGGTTCAGCACTGGAAACAGTCATTCTTGCCTATTCAAACACTTTGCTTTTGCAGCTGTCTTCCTTCTCTACTGGATATATTTGTGTATTCATACTGATGTGCCTCCTTTTCAATGATTCCCCCCCACCCCGCCCTACATCTACCTTTAGGTACTGATTTATCTTTTCTTTTTAATAGCAGTACTCCTTCAAAAGCTATGCCTATACTTTTTTATTCACTTCCTATTTTCTTTTACTCAGATTCTCTTTCTCTCTAAAAAAAAATCCACAAAAACTCTCATGAAGATAAACAATGTCCTTCACTTTGGCAAATTCAACTATCCATTTGCATTCCACAGATTGCTTGTCATATCAGCAGCATTTGAGCAGCTGATTGTCCTTCAGAGGCCTCATACTTGTTACTTTCTTTCCCAAGCCTACTTCCCACTTTCTCCTAGTCTCCTCTTCTAATCCATAATGTTGCTATGTTCTGAAATTCACTCCTAGCTTCTTTTTTTCTATTTATACTCCCTTGGGGGGGGGGTCTCATCTAGCCCTATAACTTTAAATCCTAAATATAGACAGATAATTCTCAAGTTTATATGTCAAGCCACAGACTCTTCCCTAGGCTTCAGATGTGTATGTTTAAATGCCTACACAGTATTTCTTCTTGGCTAATAGAGATCTCAAACCTAGTTGTTCAAAACAGAGTTCTTGATTTCCAGCTACTTTAAAATGTGGAGGGCCAAGACTAGCCAAGACAATCTTGAAGAAGACAAAGATACTAGTTATAAAAATGTATTATAAAGGAAGACAACATGGCATCGGTGCATGGCTAAACAGATGGATCAGTGAAAGGTAATAGTTCAAAATCAGACCTGTATCATTATGCATATTTGATTTATGATGAGGATGTGACGCAGGTCAGTAGGAAAAGAGTAGTCTTTGAATAAATGGTGTTAGGTTAAATAATAAAACAAATTAGTTCCTAGGTAGATTTTACATGTAAAAGGTAAAAGAAAATAACATACGAGAATATCTTCAAGACCTTGAGGGTAGAGAAATACTTTTATTTTTATTTTTTTTATTTATGATAGTCAGAGAGAGAGAGAGAGGCAGAGACACAGGCAGAGGGAGAAGCAGGCTCCATGCACCGGGAGCCCGACGTGGGATTCCATCCCGGGTCTCCAGGATCGCGCCCTGGGCCAAAGACAGGCGCTAAACCACTGCGCCACCCAGGGATCCCGAGAAATACTTTTAAAATAGAATTCAAAAAGTGTTAACCATAAAGAAAAATATTGATAAATTGGACTGCATTCAAAGTAGGAATGGCTGTTCATTCAAAGACCCTGTTAAAGGCGAGAAGGGAAAAACACAGAGTGGGAGGATATGTATAATACATTTGACTAATTAAGGGATTATCGTGATTATAAAAATAACTCCTATAAATCAGTACAAAATATACAGATAACCCAATAGAAAAATGGATAGATAACACAGGAATTTTACAGAAAAGGGTACCCCAGTGGCTAATAAACATACCAAGAGCTCTCAATTTTATTAATCATCAGGGAAATGTAAATTAAAATACAGTGTGAGACCAAATTACACCCACAAAAATTACTAAAAAGACAAAAAGGAAAAAGAAACTTTGCAATACTAAATATTGGTGAGAATGTGGAGAAACTGAGTCTGTCATGTGCTGCTAGAAGGAGCATAAACTGGCAGTACTTTCAAAATTTGTTTAGCAGTATCTAAGACTCAGAAATTAACTCCTTAGGAATATTCTCAGTAGAAATATATGTAATAAAAATATGTACCAAAAATCATGTACAAAAATGTTCATAGCCCCACCCCATTATTTATAATACCTTCCCAAATAGAAACAACCCAAATATCTACTAACAGAAAAATGGATAATTAAGTTGTGTTTTTTTCAAATAATAGTCAAGGGTAGAGTGGAGAATAGCTTAGACTAGAATGTTAGTGGTAGACAGGGAGACAGATGGATTAGGCATGTCTTAGAGGCAGAGTTGATGGGAAGGGTGATGGATCAGTGTGGGGTAGGGATCGTGGATAACCTCTAGATTTTGGCATGAGTAAAGAATTACTTCTTACCATTCTTACTCCAATGATCTCTCACCTAAACTGCAGTCCTCCCTGCTGCCACTCTTGCCTTCCTATTATTTTATTTTTCCACAAAGCAGCCCAGAATGATTAAAAAAAAACACATTAGATTATCTCATTCTTGCTGCTGAATACTCTTCAGTGACATCTCATGTACTTAAAATAATATACACACTCTACTATGCCTCTTTTTACTCTTTTTTTTATTTTAAGTACATCTCATGTACTTAAAATAATATACACACTCTACTATGCCTCTTTATAGTCAACTCCATCTAGCTCTCTGATGTCACCATACACTACTGTCCCTTTTGTTAAATAAGCTCGAGGCACATAGCTTCTTTTTATTCTCCTAAACAAGTTGAAATGTTTGGAATTTTGCTCTTTGCCTTCACTGGTTCTTTTTGTCATTAAGATCTCAGCTCAAAAGATAATTCCCCAGAGAGATCTCCCCTAGGCCATCCAATCTAAAGTTCTATCCTCTTATTACTTTGCTACATCACTCTCTTATTTCTTTATTGTTCTTAGCACTGTTTGAAATTCTTGTTCATTTATTGCTTACTGGATGTCTCCCCCCTAGTAAATACAAGCTCCTAACAGTAGGGAGTTTATGTTGTCACTGTTCTATAATCAGCCACGAACAACACTTGGCAAATAGAAGGCAACTAGTATATATCTGTTGAACGAATGAGGAAATGGAAAATCCAACAATGTAAAGAGAGTGTTGAGTAGCTTCACAGAAAATACATTTATGTTCTCATTTTCCTTGTATATCAAAATAAGTTTTTAGTAACAGTTCCACTAAAAGTGAAGAACCCCTAACATCTAGAACATTTTGCTTTGGAGTATATATACCTTCCAGATTTCTACCTTTCTTACCCCCAAGCAGGCAAAGTTAGATGTATTCCCTCTTACTTACTTCTTTCACCAGAAGAGCAAGTAGAACGTAGCCTGAAGGAGCTTGCTGGGTGCTAAAGTCTGAAATAGTAGCCTTTTTATAGTAAGCCCATTTAGGGAGGAGCCATCCTCTGTAGGATGGTCTGATTCATTTCTAACCAAACCCAGATCCACCCGTATCTCCACCTCTATTTCTCTAACAATGTGTTTACTTCCCAACTTCCTCACGTACTCATCTGTACTTGTTTTCCCAAGTTCCAAATTCAGGTTTACACAAACCCAACATATTGGAGATTTTATGGAAGATTTTCTTATAGGTTCTTTGTGTATTGCATCCACAATACCTTTTTGAGAACTTTTTTGAGAACTTCAAATTCAGTTTGTGGTAGGAAAACATCACAAGGGCCCACCTTGATGTCCCTTTTTATCTATGAATTCTCTGGATACTGGGGGAGCTTGCTGTAAAATGAATATTCGTCTTCCAGAAATTATGAGGAACTGAGAGGAAATAGGCAAATTTAATTTAATTTTTCAAAAGAAATAAAGAAAATGAGGTCTTGAGTTAGAAGCAGTGATCAGCAGAAGCTAGCATGACCCTATCAGGCAAGAACCATTGGTCTAACTTTACATTGTTTTCAAGGTTATTACCTTGGGGTATCAAGAGATACACTCTCCCCCTACTCTTCCTATAGGTTGAACTGTGGGTTTTCTAATTTATTCTCATAAATATACAAGAGACTCCTATCTGTAGTTCATCTCTTGCTTTCCAGACTTTTACGTTGAACAGACTACATCTCCATTTGGATGTCCCCTAGTTAGCCTCTGCTAGTACATTCAAAACTGAAGTGGGTGGGGGGGGATGGGGTAACTAGGTGATGGGCATCATGGAGGGCGCTTGATGAAATGAGCACTGGAGTTATATGCAACTGATGAATCACTAAACTCTACCTCTGAAACAAAAAAATACTAAAAACACCCCCCCCCCGCCCCTCCAAATCTGAGCTCAGTATATTGGCCTATACCAAAGTGTAGTATCCTCCAGAAGTCTACATCCTGGTTAATGACATCCCATCCACTGAGTGTCTCAAACTATATTAAGTCACTTTTCACTTCTCACTCTCCTTTACCCTTCATTTGCATGCCAGTTCTCTCTAGACTTAATTTTGCATGTGTAGATCTGTTCTCTGTTTATAGAGCTGCAGTTTTGTTCTGGACCTTATCATCTTTCAGTTGGATATTTGTAAAGTGTCATAGATAGCCCCTCTGCTTTAGGCTGCCTGATTCATCTTCTAATCTTATGTCATTCCCTCCTCTTGCCTGTAGAATTCCAGAGTTTTTCTACTTGACCTAGAGGCCCCTTCACAATAGGCATAAATCTGTATCTTTCCAGCTGCCTTACTGTTTGTATTCTATGGAAAAGGTATCTGGACTGATCAACATTGCTTGGATGATCCCCTAGTGGTCCATCACTGTTTAAAAGCTCTACCGCTATCCTTACTACCTGCAGAGTCCCTTAATCTTTGCTTCTCAGTCTTCAAGATCCTCCAGGACCATTTCTTCCTTCGTAAATCCTTACCTGGCATATTCAGATAGATCAGTTTCCCATGCACTCTGTATTTATCTTTCTTATGGCATTGGTAATATTTTATTATAATTATTTACTTATGTGTCTGCACCTCTCCCCATCTCTGCCCCATTTTGTATTTCTTCTCTCACCATAGTATTTTTTAAAAAAATATTTTATGTATTTATTCACGAGAGATGTAGAGAGAGGCAGAGATGTGTCTCTGCCAGTCAGAGGGAGAAGCAGGCTCCCACAGGGAGCCCAATGTAAGACTCAATCCGAGGACCCCAGGATCATGACTGGAGCTGAAGGCAGGCGCTCAACCACTGAGCCACGCAGATGCTCCTGAGTGGGTCTGAATAATTTTTTGTGTACTATAAGAATTTCTGGGGCATGATAAAATAAGAAATGCAAGGTGGTGGCCAATTTTGTTTGGAGCCAATGAGACAGAAATGTGTCTGAGTTTTGAAAACTTTGTTTAATGCCTTTATTTCTAACCTTAGTAGACCTCAGTTCTTTCTTTTGTGGAACATTAGTTAATGTCCACAAAATACAGATACTCATTTTCCCCCATCTCTTTTTGGGGTTAACTATCTTTTTGTGCCAGTAGTTATTGTGTCTTTTTCTGTCACCATGCTGTAATAATAAAAGTAATCTATATTGCATGCTCATTTTGTGCTGAGGATATGCTGAGATTTTGCACGTATCATTTCTAATTATCAGAACAACCCTGTGAGGTCATTATTATTATACCTATTTTTTGAGATGAGGAAACTGATAGTGATAGGGTGCATATAGTTATCCAGTGTGTAAGTTACAGAACCAAGAGTCAATCCCAGGTCATTCTGACTCCAACTCCCACATTATTTCCACTAACTCATGCAGCCGTGGGTGTGGAATTTTCTCCTTTTTTGTTAGGCTTATTTACTTTTTTAGTGTTTTAAGCATCAGTTTCTTTGAAAGTGCCCAAGTCCTGGGAGAACTTACTTGTGGAGTCCATTGCAGGGGGAGCAGAAAGACTGCTGTGACATGTGTATAAAGTGGAGTCTAGAGAGTGGCAAGGATGGGGCAAGTTGGGATCTGATATTTTGGTGACAGAGACCCAGATCTTGCAGATTCATATCAATATGGAGGGCAGTCTAGTGGTCTGCCCCAGGACTGTTTTCTTGACCATGGTTATGATCATTATATTTTCATCAATTGCTTAGATAAAAATGTAGGCAGCTGGCAAACAATTTTGGGGTAGACTGAGGCCCAAGAAGATGTTAGCATGTCACACCACAGCTCAAATCTAATAGAAATGAACTCTACTGCAATAAAAGTAAAATTCTGACTATGGATCTAAATTAAACTTCACAAAGATGGAATAGGAGTCATAAGTAAAAGTGGGGTACTGTGACAGGGAAGTGTGATATTGTAGTCAGAAAGGTAACGCTATTTTAGGCTGCATTAAAAGAAGCACATTAGTTGAAACAGAGTAAGTGGTTGTGGTGTTCACTCAGCACTTGCCAGATTGTTGCTGTAGCTTTTTGTTCAGTTCTGATGATCACTTTTCAGTAGGGATGTGGACAATTTGTTATGTGTTCTGAGTAAAGTAAACAGGATGATTGGTCACGTAGGTAGTAAAGGGAACTAAGTGAGAAGCAGATAGGAGATGAGTGTCTGTCTTCAGTTATAAGGGTGGCTGTTAATAGAATTAGGATTATACGTGGGTTGTATAAAAAAGTCAGATAAATGGGTAGAAACTGTAGAGAAGCATATTTTGGCTTTATATAGGATAGAACTTTTTAATTGAATTGTCTAAACATGGGGAGAAATCTTTAGAGATACTGAGTTCCCTATCATTGCCTAGAGAATTTTGAATTATCCAAGAAGTTGGCAGTTAAGTAGTCTAGCCTCCTCATACTGTAGTTGACTAGAAGGGCCAATGTTGGAAAGTCAGGACCCAGGCCACTAATTCAAGACTTTTCACTCTAAATCATCTTTTAACCTCAGGTTACATCAATTACAGGAGATGAGCATGAGACCAGGGATATCTTGGATGGGGTTAAGTAGAGGAATATTGGGTGAATGTCTGATAAATTCCTCTTTCAACCTAAGAGCTATGATTTTATTATTTATTTATTTATTTATTTATTTATTTATTTATTTATTATTTTATTTTTTTATTGGAGTTCAATTTGCCAACATATACCATAACACCCAGTGAAGAGCTATGATTTTATTATTCAAGTAGGTTTCTTTGCCTGACTTGATCCAGATGACTATTTGATCAGTGAAGTTTAATAGCTGTAGGGATAACAGAATTATCAATTACACTTTATAGTGTGAACAGGAAGATAGCACTTGGCTTTCCATATCCTCCCTTCTTCCAACATAGCTGATCCGTCTTGCATATTAGCTTTTTACTTTTAGAATCCCAAAGAATTCCCCCCCCCCAAGCATTCAAAATTACTGACCATGAAACAGTGAACTCTGAGATGTGGGGCATCATCTCTATCTTCCCAGAGAATTTATCATTTGTTACCAGATGATGAAATGGTTTCAGAGTATTTTAGATACTCACAGTTACATATTGTGGCTGGCAGAATATGTTAAGGGGTGAAGAAAACTCCCCCAAAGTCAGGAGTTATTGACAAATCACAAATTACAGGATTTCAATGACAATCTTTCAATTGGTTGTCCCTCCCTTTTCCTATCCAAAAAGCATTGTGTTGCCATATGGCCTCTGGGCTGCTGATGTGGGTCAGATTGTCACAATTCAAGGGAACAGCCCTTTGAGATAGGTGACAAGCTGTGGGAGTGAAGGGGAGTTGGAATTTGCGGTTAGATGATTTCCTGCAGGAGCTGTAGTCATCTCCTGGGAGGTGCTGTTTGGGAACTTTTCCATGTTGAATATCGTCTTGGATTCCTTGGCATGGTAGTTGCTGTGTACCTGTTTAGCCATACACTATGGGTCAGAATCTGGCAAGACTACCTCTATGTGTAGCTTGTATTTGCCAGGACAGTGGTGAAGGAGAGAAAGGTTGATACTAAAGGAAAATTTCAAGTTGCCTTCATTGACCTCAGAGTCTGCTTTCTTTAGCTTCTTCTGTGGTGTGTGTGTGTGTGTGTGTGTGTGTGTGTGTGAGAGAGAGAGACATAGAGATAGAGAGATGGAGAGACAGATGGAGAGAGGGAGGGAATGGATATTGGAGTGGGGGGAATGAAAATGAGAAAGAGCTTTTTCCAGATACAAGCAAGCCATTTAAAAAATTTTAATTCCAGGATAGTTAATATATAGTGTTCTATTCATTTCAGGTATACAATGTAGCGATTCAACAGTTCTATACATTACTTAGTACTTATCAAGTTAAGTGTACTCTTTTTTAAAAAAAGTTTTATTTATTTATTCATGAGAGACACACAGAGAGAGGCAGAGACAAACGCAGAGGGAGAAGTAGGCTCCCTATAGGGAGCCCGATGTGGGACTTGATCCCAGGACCCCGGGATCACGACCTCAGCCAAAGAC